GGATATATTTAAATACATGAAAGATACATTAACAGACAAAACCATTCTCTAAAAGTATAACTCACTGTAGTAGTCAATCAGCCGACCGTGTGTGGCAGATTTCCGGCACTACACTGCTACACATTGCAACGGGTTGAATAACTTATTTGAGTTTTGATTGTTAATTGTACCATTACATTGTTTTTATTTACTTTTTTTTGTACAACATTACTTTATTGAACTGTTTTGTTCGGCTATTGCCCGCTGGTTTAACACGACAGGTGACAAAAATTATGATAAATAAATGTTTTTATATTATTTCTTCAAGGCAAAGATGCCGGAGCGGTTGGGGGCCTTAGTTCTGGACTTTACGATGATGCACGCGGAGAAAATAAAGGCGAAGTTATCAACATCGTTCAAGACAAGGACGGCAAGGGAATCAATAACAATAACGAAGGTAAGATTAAGTAATTTTTTATTAAAAGTGGGCAAACAAACATACGGTTCACCTGTCGACCAAAGCCCATTAATAAGTGCAACACCAGTGGAATTGCAGGCGCGTTGCCGATCTTTTAAAAAGGTGTAATGTGTATTTGAGTTTGAGATGGATGAGAGGTCCCTGGATGGTTTAGATTTACAATTGCACCCGGTAGGTGGCCCTGTTGTTGAGATCCGTTGATGTCGGCACCCGTGGGAAGCCGGGACAGATCGCTAGTAAATAATATTAATTGTTTCAAAATTGTGTGTAAGGTGTTTTAATCGTCAGAAATGATGCACTTATCTGTCAATAACTTAGCATTTTACTTTTGTGCAGGCTTTGACAATTAAATAGAGCAATGATAAGCACTAAAGTAGACTGTAACAAACATTTTGACAGCTTGTACAACAGTTATCACTGTGTTTTTGTTGTTGAAATAAATTACTTCTCTAAATCTCTTTCCCTCTTTGTTTAAAGTCGATTGCGTGTATAGCCATAGACTACAGCAGTGACTTATCGCCGACTGCACTTTTAATTCGTTTGTCATTGTAAAGACCATTCCATTCTTTTATTATAGCCTATCAAAAGTCCACTGCTGAATATGTTCCTTCCCCACAGTAGGCGAAAATGCCATAGATGCCACACTTGGCAAGTGGGTTGGCAACCAGAGGTTTTTTTATTATTTTGAGTTGTTATCATAAATATGCTACTGCCCTGTAATCATGTTTTATTACCCTCTGCCGCCTATAACAACACTAACGGAGTAATACAGGTAGTCTTCCTATGAAATAATTAAGTTGATTTTTTTTAAGTTGATTTTTTTTTAAAACGTTACCCCCACACTAGGATTTTCTCCTGTATCATGGAGGCAGTTTACAAACATATATTGCACAAGGACAAACATCCAGACCCGGAACAATTATTTGTAGGCCATACAAATACTTGTTCCGTGCGGGATTCGAACCCGCGGCCCCCAAATTTTGCAACTCATTGCTAAGCCACTACGCCACGGAGCCGTCTTTATTTTACAATCAATTACACCCACGCCCATTACAAGTCCCCCAAGGAACGCCAAAAAACACAGTCCTGCGCCACCACAAAGTATATTCATTACAGCCCTTCACAAGACCACTGTGGAACATAGGCCTACCCCAAGGAATGCCACAAAGCACGTTCCCAACCCTGCATCCATTGACTTCCTGCATGTTTACCAGGTCGTTACTCCATCTAGCGGGGGGACGCCCTATACGTACGACGCTGCCACTCGATAACCTTTCTTCCCCATCGGTTGTCGGTTATTCGAGCTATATGGCTGGCCCATTGCCACTTCAGCATACTAATTCTTTGGGCTGTGTCGGGTACTCTGGTTCTACTGTGGATATCCTCGTTTTTAAGTCTATCACGCAGAGAAACGCCGAGCATAACCCTCTCCTTAGCTCGCTGAGCGACTTTGAGCTTCCTTATATGGCCAGCAGTAAAACAATAAAAACCTTAATCAAGTAGGTCCAGAAGTATTGGCAGCGGACCCCCCTCCGACGGCCTACTCAGTAGAGACGCTGGCGCTGGCCGTGGCGGCGGGCGCGCTGGCCGCGCTCGCCGCTGGTTTCGCCGCCGGCTACATCTGCGGCAGACGCTGCAAGAAGGACGAGGACGACAACATGCCCTATCCCGACACCGAGTACGAGTACTTCGAACAACGGCAGAACATCAACAGGTTTGTTCGATTGTCTTGAGTACGCCTGTTATCATTTAGTTATATTTTATTTATTTCAGTTTTATCCTTAACACTTTGTCCAAATTTGCAGTCTGCTAAAATTACACACTAAGGTGCAACAAGTTACATCTAGCCGAACAAACAACTGACTTGATTTTGTCATGTACTCACAAAATATACAACGTTTATGTGACGTATTTCTTTGCATGTGAAATTGATAAATTCAGCCACGAAATACTAATTCACCTTTAAAAATAACTGTTAATGATTTACTACTCAACTCCTATTTAGTTAGTTATTAGTTTATTTAGTATTAGTACTCAAGTCCTACCTAAATTATTATTATCGGACATGACCTACTGGATGTTGTGGCTTATGTAGTTACAACCAGGGTGCTCCATATTTGTACGAAAGCTAAAAAATTAGCTTATACTCAATATCGGTAACAAATAGTGAAATTACACTATACACCGAAACCAAACGTCAAATTTTAAAACGAGCCACTTTTGGCCGTAGAAGGCAAAGGGGAGGTCTCCCCCCGGGAGCTCGCGGAGCGGCTAATGCTCCGTGTGTTATTTCGGAGCTATTCTCTATATTATAGTGCGTTAACTTCAGAACTTTAATAGCGCGATTTAGGCTTCAGTGCGTTTCATTTACGACGCGACGACAGCGACGCCACATCACCCTCTTGCTCAGACCGGAGGTCGATAGTGCAGTCAAGATGTCGACGAGTATGCAAGTGGAAGGAAAAAAGTCTGCGGTGAGTTGAGAAGAAGGCAAGTAATCTGCGAGAGTGCCGTGAAGCGGAGGCGAGCAGTAAGGCTCAGGCCGTGCCGAACACTGTAAGCGCAGACAATAACTTGAAGAAACAGGAAGCGTTATTCCAGTGTTGAGAACCATGTAAAGCTAAATGGATTGCAGGATCAGAAGACTGCCGATAATACCTGCTCGGGAGCGAATGGATGGGATACTTGAGGACGATGACGAAAGCTTGAAAGTTGAAATTTCCGAAGGTTGCATGTTAGGTGTTCAAATTACGTCGGTTGGTCACTAGTTTAGTCGTGGCAGGAAAGGGGGAGATCTCCCGCCGTGCAAGGTGATCGGCCCGGGAAGCAGCCAATGTTCCCCATGTTATTTCGGAGCTGTTCTATATACATATAGCGTGCTAACTTCAGAACTTTGATAGCGCGATTTAGACTTCGGTGCGTTTCGCTTACGGCACGACGACAGCGCCGCCACACACTATTCCCACCAGAGTTACTCAATCGCACAGCAAAGTCACTAGCCACTGCCGCCTTTTATTACTGTAAGACCCGTCAAACAATTTGATTCTAGCTTTATGGTCATTCCAATAACAGAATACAATTAATAATTTGATTACCTCATATCGTTCTAAATTTCTTCCATTCCTTTTTCACCATGTTGTTGGACATGAGCCTCTCACGTTATAGGGAGGATCTGCCTTTAATAGTCATCCGAAGTAACGATCACAAGCCTGAATTTACACAAACAATTTTTTACTTATAGGATCCAAGCAGAACCAAAACTGCTCCAACAAGTAGAAGAAGTGACCTACGCTGAACCAGTTCTGGCTCCACAGCCTAAGCCCGCGTCCCCACGAGCCACTCTGCGCAAGCACCCGCCGTACCACCCACACCACGAGACCCTGTTTCAGTTCCAACCGGACGCGTACCGTCGCGACAACTTTGGAACACTTCGCTCCCACCAGGTCAATGTCAGTTGCGCTCTGTTTTTCTTCTTTTGCATGGCTTTAGAGTGTTAAAATATTAGTCTTTAGTCCTCTTGGCAAAAAAATTTCTTGTATTCAAACGATTTATATTAACTTTTAGAAAATCAAAAAAAGCTTATAAAACAATTACATATCTAAATATTTTTGTTTTTAATTAAAATTAAATATTATTTATTATATTACTTAAAACAAAAGCGTAATTTCTACCTATTTTGGCTTGCTTCGTATTCATAGGTTACTTGACTTTTTTAAATGTTAGAAAATATTTTAAATGCCTTTTTAATTTAAATAGGTACTATACTAATGTGATACTGATATTTCATGTCGTAGTTGTTAAATTTCTATGTATTACTGTTGGCGATCCAATTTTAGCCGTCTTGTATCCTTGAAACATATAGTGTGTGTCCTTTCGCATGACATTATACCCTTAGCATTACAGGACAAGTACCAGTTATCGAGACAAGAATGTCGTTAATAGAAATAAAATATGGTAATAATTGAGAAACATAAATCATGCTCTCTCATGTCATTTCATCCATGTCCATGTTGCATGTTTTTCCAAGAATATGTTGAATGTAGATAATTTTATAATTTTACTTTTATTATTAAATTGAATTTAACCATGTCTAATTAGTCTTTCGTAACAAAAAACCTTAACGTCGTTGTAAACATTTTAATGTCACTTTTTTATTCTAATCTTTCCGTAATTTTTTTAAGCTATTAAAAATAACAAATAATTTCTAATGCATTATGCACGTTTTAGTTTAACTCATTAATCACATCATTATTGCCTGTCATTACGAAAAATGTTGCGAGTGTTATAATTAATTAATTATGCATTTACCGTTGCCAATTTAAATCTAAAAAAAAAATCGTAACACTTTTCGCGTCATTAACACGCCATTTTAATTTTCATGTATCATCGCACTCATATTGACTGCGGCATGTCAGTTAACGCAGGAGTATTCGGACCGCAGGGCGACGGCTACCGGCGCGGCAACGACAATGGCTTCTCGACCACGCGCTCAGTGAAGAAGGTGTACCTCTGAGAAACAAGCGGGGCGGATTCGCGCGACCAAATGCATCACCATAAGCATAATACGCATCACCACCACACTTTGGGTATGTAATATGATATGAATTTTATTTTAAAATAAAGTATACTGTCGTAGTGGGCATTTAGCGCTACCTCGGCCCGCGCATAAATCATCACTAACATACTGGTTGCCACAACTCAAAATAATAATAAAACTTCGGTTATAAACCTGCCTGCCAAGTGTGGCAACTTTGGCAAATACCCTCCCATGAGCAAACTTTAAGGGAAGCATATATTCAGCTGTGCACTTTGGCTGTGAATATGATGATGAATGCGAAAGCATCGGCCCTTTAGCTAGTTACTATAAGCAAATCTTTCAAAAAATGCGCATGCTTGAAAAAAGCTACATAATTATACAGCAATGGATTAAATTATATGATAAATAAGAAGATTAACTAGTGATAAGACTTTATACTATTATATTTATACGTCATAGAGCAACGTAGTAGCTGTATTTTGACTGCAGCACGCATGTTTCGCAACTCGACGGGAGAGAGATTACGCTCTCACGGAATACCATTATAAAATTAAAATTAAAATATATTGTTGAGCGCCACCATTAATACCTGGTACACGGCAACACTAGTTACCACTAGCGCCCTCTAGTATCGAGTATCAGAGCTAGGAGAGTCAAGATCCTTCTAGAAATTTCCATGGAAGAACTTTCTAGAACTATCGACACCTAGTCACTCGGGACCGGTATGTACTCGATCATTCTAGATGTTTTTATAGTAGAAGGTTCTGGAAACTATCTCAGGTCCTATATAAAACCGGTATAGACCGCGACTGGGGTCCGTGTTGAGTTGGCGATACAAGCGAATACTTCGAAGCGATACAACTGCGAACTAAAGTGATCAGTAGTACAATTGTTATTAGTGTGGTTTTAAGTTGTAATTAGTGTTCTGTAATTAAAGTGTCAAATTTGGTAATTCACTCGGCAGTTTTGAATTGTCTCGAACCCCAAGCTCGTAACAATATTATGACAGAATTTAAAGTTATGTTGCGAATCAAATAATAAAAAGTGCGGCACCATTTGTTATACAGGAAGAGAAGCATTTCTCTTCCTGTATAACAAATGGTGTACTTTATTCATAGTGATCCTACACACAATGTCATTTAAAATGTTAACTGTTTGCATTTAAGTTTTTTTTTTTTTAATAACAGAAGCAAGTGGATGCTGTTACCCATAGACATTAAAATGCCGATGCGTTGTCACCCCTGAGGGCTAAGATGAAATTTTCTACATTCCCCATACGAAACACAGCAGCATTGGGTTGCTATTTAACGCTGGTATTCTGTGAAAACGTGGTCCTTCTCCGGTTGAGCCGACCCATTCGTGTTACAACTATGCTACTGATATATATAGCTGCATATGGCTCTACCACGTATAAAATGTTTTTCTACTTGTATATCGTAGTATTTTTTTTTTGGGTTTGTACAACAACTTCTGCTCTTTACATCCTCAACTAGTCTCTCATTGTAAATATCTTCTTCTAAGATGGAAATTATGGATTTCGTATTTATAGTAGCGTATAATTATGCAAAAAGTTCCGTGCAACGTGAGCTCGTCACTACGCGACAGTTGGCAGTATGCTGGCTGGCCGGTAGCTATGAGTATTATAATGTATGTAGTTATGGAAACGTAACGTAACTAGCAGCATAACGCTGCTGTGTTTCGTATGGTGAGTGTAGAGAACCGGAGATCCCTTTTACTGGACACGAGGCATTCTATATTAGTCCTCACGGGTGACAATGCCACAGAATAAATAATAATACTACGTATCAGCATTTTGATTCGTAGTTGAGGATGGATGTAGAACGTAAGGTAAAAGCTAAATATAATGCTCGGGAAGAGCTGTGCCAGCAGCTATTTTATGCTTGGTGTCAGTTACAAGGAATAAACGGTTGCCGGTCAATAAGTTTATTTCATCTATAATTTATTATATCCTTCTACTTATCGTTTTGTTCAAGTTCAATACTAACTCACTTTAACGTCCATTCGAAAATATCCAAAGAATTTTTTAGTAAATGCACATTGTGTGAAATGTCCCTAAAGTTAGGCGTGCACTCCAAAATGGATGCACTCAATATTGCCTTTTTACCGCCTTCTTCGGTTCTTATAACAAGAGCACAGAACACAATCGTTTGTTCAAAATTGATATTGATGAATGCGGCAAAATTTAACGAAAAAGTTGCTTTCCTGTCGCTCCCGTCCGTGCATCGTCCAATTCTTGTCGTAGAGATAGCGACAGAAACAAAAAAATTACTCAGGAATAGATGCTCGTGCGTACGTACTAGCCGTAAGTTCCGGCTACACACAGCAACTTGCATGCGCAAACAATTTGTACAAAGTTTTCGCAAAGAACATGTGTGGTGTCCACAAGCCGCCTTAACCTACATGCTTGCTTGTGCAAATTAGAATTTGTGCAAGATTGAGCGTGTAGCCGGGCCTTTAGGTAAATAAATGGGTGACAAGAATGTTCGGTTGCAGTGTCGCAGCGCAGCAGCGGCTCGGGGTCCGGGTCGGCGAGCGGCGGCGGCTCGTCGTCGTCGCCGTCGCCGCCGTCGTCTTCGCCGTCGCCGTCCGGCGAGCGGCCGCCCACGCCGCCGCCGCCCGCGCCGCAGCCCTGCGCCTACATCTACCGCAACTAGCGCGCCGCCCCGCCCACCGACCTACCCTACACGACATGCTAACGTTCCAATTTTGAAAAATAAAGAGACTGCTATTTTCGGCCGGATCGATCACGACTCGAAAGACATTCCAAATGTTGTTAATTATAGAGGATTTTAAGAAAAAACTTTTCGTTTTTTTTTTATTCTTTATGACTGTTCTATAGTGCATAAAATATCGCCTAATATCTTAACTTTAACAACGAAAGCGACAAAACAACTTTAAAATTTCTCTCTTTTAAACTCCAAATTTTTTTCATTGTTACAAGTAAAATTTACCTACTATTTGCTTGTACTTACTCTAAGGATTGCGTTAGTATAAAGTCTCAAGTATCAAGCTATATCTTAGAACAATTGCGTAAATAATTACGTTGTTACTGTAAGCAAGCTATATTTTATGCACTGTAATTACTTGCAATGTGGAGTTTTCGAACGTTCTACAATACGAAATCGTACAACAAGGCTGCCTATTAGATATTATATCAGTAAACAATCAAAGTCGGCCGAGAATTATATAATAAATGTAACGTGATAATATACGTGTTACGATGTGGATTCAAAAACTCGATGCCATTGTTAAAAATAGTATCTAAAAATTTCTTCCATGATTTTAAAAGTATATATTATATACGTACGTATTATCACCGATCTAAATAGATCACAATGATCAGAAAGGTGTTGACAAAAATTATGTATTTTTTTTAAAAGACGGAACAATATTATCGATTGATGTATGTATGATGAATAATGTAATAAATTTGTAGATTGTTTAGAATATACATAGTTTACTAATATTTTAGGTAAAAATATAAGTTTTGTTGGTAAAGTGTTGATGAATAGTTAATGTGAAATTGTGATTATCATTGCAAATTCTGAGCTTCATTCGACTTTCAATACTTTCTTCGGCGATGAATAACTTATGACGATCTGCAATGATTTCACAAAGTGCTTTTCACTATTACTTGTAGTATTACGTCATTTATTAATAAAAGTGGTGAAAGAATGTAACACGGCAACATTAACGATAGTGCCATTCGTAAAATTTACAGAATTCAGTTTTATTATCAACAAAAAAAATGTTGCCCTTTATAAAACATAATACTTTTTTTTTTCAAAATACGTTTTACATTCTTTTAAGTATTCCTAATAATCTCAAAGCTTAAACTATATCTAAGTGCTTTCTAAACGCTTTATAGACTGCTATCATTAAAGTTGTTATGTTACATAAACAATGGTGTGTAACATTAGGGTTGAAACCAGTGACGTTATTGAACACAAATGATATTAATTATATTTACCATGTATAAATTATATGTAAAGTTCTGATACTTATTCATTCATTAAAGTGCTTCTTATGAGTGTATTTAGATTATTAGGAGGTCGTTTTGATAATTATTCGATAATGTTATAGAGTTAGCAATTATGTATACATAGAGATATAGCGAAGGAGGCACTGTGGTGTCAGACTGCCAATTTAGATTGTCGGTGCGTCATTGTAAAGTTATTGTGATCCACTTGGTCATATATAACATATGTACATACATTCTAGAAACATGCGACACACTCCGTTTTCACAGACGGTCGTTTCTCAATTTTGAACAATCCATAAAAGTGGGCCCAACGTTGAAACTTACTCTTCTAAAATCGTTCCTGTTGCTATTATAGTCGGGAAGGGAATATAAGTTTGTTATAAAGATAGCGCTTTCCAATAACTAGTCTGCTATATATGAAACGATTTATTGATAAAATATAGTGTTCAAAGCCATCACGCTCATTGTTGACAATTGAATATATTATGTAAAGAAAATGTCAATTCTATTTGTATTAATGACTTAGTACCTAAGGTGTGTGTGGCAACATTGTAATTTATATTACAATGAGTCAAGTTTTCTTTTGGACTGATGTTAACGCGAACTTTAGAATGCCATTAGAGTAACGATTACAATAGAAAAGTGACGACCGAATAACATTAAGATTGTTGCGCCATTGCGTGCAGGCATTCTTATAAGATTGCCTTTATAACAATACTCGTAAATAGTTTTATTTTTAATACATACCAAAGATGCCATGACGATTAAGGTAAATTATTTATTTATAGGTGTAATCCATAATTGCATTAATTAGTGATGAGGGACATAAATTTTTTGATTGTAAATTAAACTGCCAATTCGTATAATTTGAAAAGTAAACGCACATGTATTTTTTTTTTTATTTTGTATTTTATGTAAAATTATTTGATAAGTAGACGCTTTGATATAAAGCCACAGCGAAGCAGTGATAATTACGAACATTGAAAGTAGTATTTCATATTTAATTATAATGTTAATTATGAAAGAAATAAGGTATATTATATAATATAATATACCTTATTTCTTTCATAATATAATACCGGCAGAAAATATATAACAAATTTTAATTCAAGTTGGAATACTGCTTTCAAAGTAAGAAGGGCAAAGGCACAGAACAAACAAAACATACGTAAGAAGGTGAAAATGTATATGTAAATAGCGAGTTCTGTAATGTAATTTATACTTTTCGTCGAGTAAATAGTGGTAAGCATTAGTAACTAAGCGCAAGAAGTTTTTGAAGATGAATTGTTAAGAATTGTTTTTTTTTTTAATTAAGTAAAAGGTAATACTGAAGAAATGTACAATAACCATTTCTACGTTTAAATTACTGAACCATCTTTTTATACTCGTAAAAATAATCGTAATCTTTACCATGCCTAGAAATTCTCTTGTACTAAGCGTAAATTATTAATTTATGAAATATTGAGAATTATATTAGAACTTATGGTACGTACTGTAGTTTATATTATATAGACCGCTTACTTTGTTTCGAGATTGAAAGCCTTAGTGTTAGAAATTGAAGACTTTTATTACAAATAATAAAAAAATTAAGTGTAATTACTTACAAAGGATACGTTTTAATGCAGATCCGCAACTTTTTATTAAACTATACCGTTAAGATATAGCGCGTTTACGTCACGTTATTCTCAAACTAACCATCACTTAAGTATGTTATAGAGTGTAAATATAATTAAAGTTGAGTTTTAACGTGTATCTGCAGTAGTTGCATCGGTGAAACAATTGCCATCGACAAATTTCGTGATGTCAATAATTTACTTGCATATTGCTTTACTGTCTCAATAACTTAAAATTCAGAAAGGCTTACTTTAATATTCATTTAAGATTATTGGAAAAAATAATGTTTTTTTTATATGGTAGGCATGGGTCCACCATCATTCGGATGAAGAATCAGTTAAAAGTAGTATGTGCAATATTTTTCTATTTCTATTAACCTCTTTCGTCTTTCTTGTTAGGTTACGAAATTATAACAACTTCGAAACATGAAACAAAGTTCTTTTGCACGCCCAAAATTCTAGTTCTTTCCAACGAAAGAATTTACACGAAAATGTTTATTATAAAGTAAATTAAGCGGTCAACTGTTCTAATTTCTGGCAGGTCCACATTAGTAGCTGTTCTTTGTTAAAATTTATCCCACAAAGTTTTGTAATGGTTTCCATGTTGTGTTCTGAAAAGAAATGAATGGAATGAGACATAGACTAATCCAAGATTAATTTTAATTTTATTCATTTTAAGTATATTTTTTTTTTACAATACACCGTTTGTTTCGCCCTTTCAAACTAAAAGGAATTTGAATTATGGGCTATGTAAAAGTACACAAGAAAATCAAGATAGACGATGGGAACCGTAACTATGGGAAGTGCCTAAATAAATTAACTTGCGTATGTAGTATAGAGCCACATTTATATGCTTTTTCCCATAATCCCAATTATGAGTTTTAGTGTGCCTTCAATACCGCCCTGTAAAATCTCGTGGAATGAAATTGGAATATCCACTTAAAAATGTTTACAGTATTACGGGGGATCATATTTGAAATTAAATAATTACAATACAATAACAGGCCAATATTCGTGTAGAAAAGGTACTGGTAAAAATACCTTCTACGAAAGGCAATCGTTTCAAATTGGTTGTAAAAGACTACAGACTTTAATAGTCTATGTTCTGGCATTATCTTACGATACATTCGATTTGTTTACAATAAACAGGAACTAGTGCTAGTCGTATTTGTTTCAAATCTAAGTCCATATCCTAATTTCATTTCCTTCGTTTAATATTCGAATTGACTTACAATTCAAAATATAAAAAGCTAAATATCATAACGTTTGTTGCGCAAATCCAACTTTCGGTAGATCAACACATTTATACTTCAGTCAGCATTAAGTGGTTTTTCCAGTTCATTCCTTACACGATTTTTATGGCAGTTCAATGAATCTATAAATATCAAAATAAAAACAATATTAACTTCTCATCGATCGATATAGACTTAAATTTAATACCTACTAATCTTTTATGTTACATATGACAGTGTTTGTTTGCTTTTTAGACACTCTATACCTCGATAGAGATAAGTAGGGATTTTTTAAAATAATAATAATAATGATAAAATGCAATGCAGTGATAGAAATGTTACACCGTATTCGCTGCCCTTATTTATAGAGTGCAATTTTTTTATAACTAGAGACAAATAGATTGTTCAACAATGGTCCGTGAAATATGAAAAATAACCTTTTATTTTATTCGGTACACTGTTTCATATTTCACTAATCATTGTTGCAAATGTTATGATCATTTTCTCATTAAATATTATTAATATATGCTAAATATTTTAGCAAAGGATAAAATGTATTCCTTTTCTTTAGTAAATAAAATATTAAAACTTTTGTTGTTTGTGTTTTGTGTCAACAACCTTCGTAGTTCGTACGGTACATACCTATAATGTACATATTTATAACAATAAAAAAACTAAATTTATTATACAGTTTATTACCCGAGGTATAATAAATATTCTTTGTCGCGGTAATGCCAAGAAATTCTGTTGTTCCGCATCAGAAGCGTAGCGTGGACTAATATAGACGTGGGCGAAGTCGTATCAGCGAGGCCCTTTTTCTTTCGTTC